TCTGCTAAGCTATGGTTTGTTGATTCATTCCCAGTCATTCATTCGTTTATTTATTTATTTTCATTATTACATTTATATGCCACCCATCTGGCCAAAGGTGAGTTGAGGCAGCAAATTACAAACTGCGAACCCCGTGGCTGGTTTCCTGGCACACAGAAGCATTTTAACAGTAGGTAACGTGTGAATCAGTGTAGCCTAGTGGTGTTTTGCGTTGGTTAGAGCAGGGGTCTTCAAACTTGGCAACTTTAAGTCTTGTGGACTTCAATTCCCAGAATTCCTCAGCCAGCCCTCAGGGCTGGCTGAGGAATTCTGGGAGTTGAAGTCCACAAGTCTTAAAGTTGCCAAGTTTGAAGACCTCTGGGCTAGAGAATCTGGACTGGCTTACCCGCTCCTGATTGATGTCAGCCAAAAAGAGACTGCTTTTGCGGTACCGCTGCTCATTCACCGGATCATGCCAGTATTGGGCCTGGACTAGGCTGTGGCAGAGAGAGAACAGGGCAAACCCCAAATCTTTAAAGAGCTGTTGAATTTTTCCCATTCCACCCAGGCATTTCTCCCCCAATACATTTTGGGTTACCCCCAATATACTCTCTCTATATATATGTCTCCTGGAAAAGCCAAACTCACAGCTGCTGAATCTTATCTGTGTACGCAATATCCAGCACTTTTCTCAACCAGTCACAGAGATGCGAGCTCTCCCCAGGGCAGTGTGGGAAACCGAACACACCTGCAGTAGGAAGAGAATCACGTAGAATTTGCACATGGCTTTAGCTTGTCAAGCAAGCCCAGAAAAAAAGTCTGAGGGGCCGCTCCTCTAACACTAATGCAGGGGTTCCCAACCAGGGGTGTTCGCACCCCCTGGGGTACGAGATATTCCAGGGGGTGCAAAAACTTGGGTTTTCAAAATTATAGTGTATATACATAATTCGCTGCCTTTATTTCGAACTTTTGTAAGGGGGGTGAGACTATATCACAATGGTGGCGAACTTATGGCACGCGTGCCAGAGGCGGCACTCAGAGCCCTCTCTGTGGGCACACGCACCATTGCCCCAGCCCCACCTCCCCCCGTAGCCCCCCTCCTCACCAGCAGCCCCCACAGAGGAGAGTCACTCCCAGGTGCAGCCCGCGCGGAGCAGTGCAGCCAAGGACATGGCAGCCGGGCAGTAGGGACTCCACCCTTGCGCCCTGTTGCGCGCAGATGATACTGCAGGGCACGGGCGGAGGGCGTGGCTGCCATGGCGCTGCAAGGCCACCTGGGCGATCTGCTGCGGCAGGCCGTGGAGGTGGTGGGTGGCCCTGTTGGCAGGATGGTTTTTGGGCACTCGGTCTCTAAAAGGTTCGCCATCACTACTATATCAGAAGCGTTCTAGGGGTGCGGGGTATAGATAAGGTTGGGGGCCGCTGCACTAATGCATACAGCTAATCCTTGACTTAACCAACGTTCGTTTACCCAAAGAGTTCTGAAACCTGAATGCAGAAACTGAAGACGCTTCTTGGATGAGAAGTGAAATGTTTTCGAAGGGGAAAAAAAAAGTCCAGTTGCCTTTTGGAAAAAGTATCACTGGGGCAACCATGACTTGGACGATCGAAAATCTCCATAGACAACCATTTGTTTAGTGACCGTTCGAAGTTACAATGGCACTGCAAAAAAGTGACTTAGCACCATTTTTCACCTTTACGGCTCTTGCAGCGTCCCCAGGGTCACGTGATCAAAATTCAGACGCTTGGCAACTGGCATGGACTTACGACAGTTGCAATATTCCAGGATCACGTGATTCACCTTTTGCGACCTTCTGGCAAGCAAAGTCAATGGGGAAGCCAAGTTTATTTAACAACCGTGTTACTAACTGAACTGCAGTGATTCACTTAACAACTGTGGCAAGAAAGGTTGCAAAATGGGGCAAAATTCATTCAACAACTGCCTTGCTTAGCAATGGAAATTTTGGGCTCAATCGCGGTCGTAAGACAAGGACTATCTGTATTTTTTGGCACGTCAATGGCTGAAAAGTTGAACGGTGGAGGTGAGGAAACAGTTATCTTCCTAGCAAGATACCCACTTTAAACAGAAATCTTTTATTATTTGTAGGATATCTAAAATCTTCAAATAGAGTGCAGGTGATTCAATGCTATGTGGACCCCTCTCTGGGATCAGGGAGATACATTTTTTGACACCCCAACCCCGCAGTGGAACAATGAGGCAAAATTAGCAAGGAATGGATTAATGGAGTCCCCAATTTTCAAGGTACATACAGTCTATCCCAGGGGAAGATGACCTTGGCTCTTTTATGACTCGTGGACTTCAACTCCCAGAATTCCTGAGCCAGCCACGCTGAGGAGAAATGGAGAGTTTCCAAGCTGAGCCATGCTGGCTGAGGAATTCTGGGAGTTGAAGTCCACAAGTCATGAAGGGGCCATAGTTCCCCTATGCTGGCTCAGGAATTCTGGGAGTTGAAGTCTACGAGTCATAAAAGTGCCAAGGTTGCCTACCCCTGGTCTATCCAATGCTTTGACCAACACATTTTTCTATTCTTTCATATTGAAATTGTGCAGAAAATTGTGCTCTCAGAGTTCATCGTTGGTTTGTCACCAAACATCAGCAATATAATTTCAGGGGGGGGGGTGTCAGTAAAAGATTGGATTCAAGAGTCACATGTTGCCTAATTCTGGTCTGGACACACAAGAGATTGGAAATGAAATTACTACATACACGGGAAAAATTAAAATCTTGTTGTAAGAGAATGAATGCCAACTTTCTCTGTCAGCAATTTTTTTTATCAGAGAACAAGTGTTTGGGATTTTTCAATGTTTTAAAAAACATAAAGTTAAAATAGGAAAATCAGATTTTGTGTCGGCCAAGAAACTGAAGTTAATGTTGAGAAATTAAAACCCCAGCAGATTGAATTTTAAATCAGAAACAGCAAGTTTAGACAACGACCTCAGGATCCATCCTAGTAAACCTGTACTTCAGGTTTAACACACACTGGAGCAGGGTTTGTTCAACTGAACCCCATCAGAATTTGACAGGAGTTCATGAGAAACTAAGGGGGAGGGAGAATAACACAAACACAGCCAGTTTTCTATCACCACAACTTTGCCTCTTGATCACAAATTCTGGATTGGTGTCTTTTTTTTTTTTTAAGCTAACAAGTTCCACAGCCTTCAAAATTTGGGGAAACCTTACAATAAGACTTGAGATGCTGAGAGTAGGTGTTTTCTGGTAGTATATCAGGAGTAGGAAACCTATGAGCAGCACGCAAAGACCCTTAGATCACGTGCTGACATTGTTACAAACAGCCCATTTCCAACATCAGTAGATTTGGAGGTTGTATGTAAGTAGAGCAAGAATGACAGAACAAAACTGTAAGCTGTACAACTCCCTTTCTCACTCTTAAACCTCCCCAAACCTCAGCAGCAAGCCACAACTGTGTTAAAAAAAAATTACTCTCTTCCCCTTCTTTGATAACGCTGCAGCCCGACTCAAAAGTTTCTTCCTTTGTAGCAGGCAAAACAATTCTGTGCCATTAAAGGGAAAAAAGTCAATTAGTCCACTTCCAGAAACAAAAAACCAAAACAAAAACCAAAAAAAAAAAACCACCAGGAAGATTGTGTTAAAATCTTTTAACAAAATTATGGCTTGATGTTTGGGGAGGATGGGGGTTTAAGAGTGGGAAAGAGTGTTTTGCTGCTTACAGTCTTGTGCTGCCATTCTTGCTCTGCCTATAGACAACACCCCCCCCCAATAACTCTAAATCTAATGAAAATTGTGCTGTTGAAAATAGGCCATTTGTCACTGAATTTCAGCACTACATCTAAGGGTCTTTGCCGGTTGTGTGCTGCTCATAGGTTCCCTGGTCCTGACATACTACCAGAAAACACCTACTTTCAGTGTCCCAGTCTTTTTGCAGAGTTTTCCCAACTTGGATCTTGAATCCTTCATAACCAGAAGACAAATTTACTAGACCCTGAAAGGGCCAAATTCCACCTTGTTATGAGGACAATATTTATGATATCCTAAAACTATGCTCCTGGGGATGAAAGCTATGGCAAATCTAGACAGCATACTAAAAAGCAGAGATGTCACCCTGCCAACAAAAGTGTGTATAGTCAAGGCCATGGTTTTCCCAGTTGCAATGTACGGCTGTGAAAGTTGGACCATAAGAAAGGCTGAGCACCAAAGAATGGAGGCCTTTGAACTCTGGTGCTGGAGAAGACTCCTGCGGGTCCCTTGGACTGCAAGGCGTTCAAACCAATCAGTCCTGGAGGAGATCAACCCTGACTGCTCTTTAGAAGGCCAGATCCTGAAGTTGAAACTCAAGTACTTTGGCCACCTAATGAGAAGGAAGGACTCACTGGAGAAGAGCCTAATGCTGGGAAAGATGGAGGGCAATAGAAGAAGGGGACGACAGAGAATGAGGTGGCTGGATGGAGTCATTGAAGCAGTAGGTGTGAGCTTCAATGGACTCCAGAAGATGGTAGAGGACAGGAAGGCCTGGAGGAACGTTGTCCATGGTGTCACGATGGGTCAGACACGACTTCGCAACTAACAACAACAACGAGGACAACATTTATGATGTCCTAAAACTATGCTCGCCTTTGAAGAAAAGAGTTACCTTGGTGTTGACCTCCTATGGAAATCAGGTTGAACATCGGTGGAGATGGACATCGTTGCACCACTGCTCTCCTAAGGAGGGGAAAAACAGATCATCACCAGAAAGACATCTTCCACCACAGAACAGAATCCACCTGGTTATAATTTCAAGCTTTCTGGCAGAGCATTAATCATGGGGGTGGCGTGAGTTGGAACAGGGATGAGAGCTGAAGTTCCAGAATACCTAGATCGCCCCCAGGCTGGGCGGTACAGGCTCTTGCTGGGTTCAGCGAGACCTGTTTGTAAAATAAGGCAGAATTGGCAGCATGAGCAGAAACCTGAAAGCTATCAATCAGGCTTTAGAAACTACCATAGCTGGCAACTACCTTAGGACACTAAGCCAAAACAAACAAAGGTGGCATTGTGGTTTTGTTTAATGAGTGGACTGGTCAATTTAAAAGAGATAGGCGCTTTCACTGTATCCCAAACAGATCTACTCTGAGCTGTGATGGCTCTCCAAGGGATCCGCTCATCAACTGCTACTCTTTAATGGTAAAAATCAAGGACTGGATCCGAGAATTCGCAGGTATGCAACCAGGAGTTCTGCCAGTAACATGGGGGCTCCATTCACTAACTTCATTCCAGGGTCTTCCATCACCTCCTATTTGAAATACTTACAAGAACTGCCCTCCTTGTGAAAAGCCCATGGCATTGTAGCCACCTTGAAGCTTTGGGTCTTTAGAAAGTTGGTCACACACCTTCTTGACTTGGTTATTGACATTCATGAAGAAGCTGTTCTCCATGTCCTAAGGAAAAACGAAACGTTGATGAAGAGTGGCTAGGGAGTTTCAATGGGTTGGCTTTATGGGTAGAGCAGGAAGCCGATTCAGAAAGGCATGATCGATCTTCCAACTAGACCAGGGGTAGGCAACCTTGGCTCTTTTATGACTCGTGGATTTCAACTCCCAGAATTCCTGAGTCAGCTATGCTGACTCAGGAATTCTGGGAGTTGAAGTCCACGAGTCATAAAAGAGCCAAGGTTGCCTACCCTTGAACTAGACAAATAGAGAACAGGTCTATCCAAAGCCACCAGTCTTGGTAACAAGGTGTAGTCTCCGAATACAAGATCACACTGCCTCTACACACCAGGTGCATGGGAGCAACAATGGGAGAAGAGGGCTGCCTTTGTCTCATAGGTCAGCTTCCTAAATACACTGGTGGGCTACTTTATGTAGAAGAACAGACAGAGCTGGGGGAAGGAGTTGAACATATCATCAGCTTAGAATCCTTGCATGTCCACAAGGGAGCCAAATTCAACCCCTCCTGAATTCTGTTGACCCTTATCTGGAGCCAATTTAGGGTTGAACTTTAGTTGACCGGATTCTTTTATATAGGCTTCAATAAATCTTCTATACTTCAACCTAACCAGTAGTCCTGATTCTTTGTACTTGACACCTAGGAGAGAAGCTAGATGTGTCTTGGCTTGAATCAGCAGGCTACTCTCAGATTCTCAACACTGAAGGTTCTTTGTTTCTCCCTCTTGGTATGAGGCAGCCAGCTGGTCCAGCCAATTAATTAAGAGATGTACAAACCATTTTGAATTCAAAAGACCCACACCTCAAGTACAAAACAGCATCCTAGAATCACTCTGCATCCAAGATTTTGACTCTTCCTTTTAGAAAAGAGTCTGAAGATGTCTAATTCACATGTTTGCATGCTGAAAGCATGCGCCGTATGAATGAACTCACGTCAATTAAGTTGCTGCCTATCTTCAGAGACAGCACATAAATTCCTGGGATTTTCTCCTCCACGATTTTTTTAATATAACCCATGCTTATGGGGTTGCAACAACTATCTCCTGTAATGTAAAAAAAAGAAAAGAGAACTTAGAAAACCAGAGTAGCTGTTTGTCTAGGTTCCTTAACTATTTATAGCTAGAAATATATTAACAGCATTTAGTCAATAAGCAAATGCCCTAGGCCAGGGGTAGGCAACCTTGGCTCCTTTATGACTCGTGGACTTCAACTCCCAGAATTCCTGAGCCAGCATGGGGGAACTATGGCCCCTTCATGACTTGGGGACTTCAACTCCCAGAATTCCTGAGCCAGCCATGCTGAGGGGAAAGGGAGAGGTTTCCAAGCTGAGCCATGCTGGCTCAGGAATTCTGGGAGTTGAAGTCCACGCGTCATAAAAGAGCCAAGGTTGCCTACCCCTGCCCTAGTTAAAAAAAAGGCTGTGTTTTAAATTATGAACACATATAAAAGTACTAGAATGTTACACAAAATGGTGGTCTAATCCCACCATATATAGCAAGGAAAAGCTGCTTTAGATGAGCTTTGAACCCCTGTCATACTCCAGATTCACAGATTCAATACGGTGGTTCAAATGTGAAGCAGAGACTATCCCCTGGCCAGTTCTGAATAAAATCAGCTGGTCTCATGCTACCTGTGTTTATAAATACATTACAAATATTTACGTGCAATAAAATCCATCTTAAAAACAAGAGGCTATGTGAGGGGTCTGCAGATATTTTCTCAGCCCTCCTTGTGACTCGCTCAATATACACATCTTCTACGGAAGGCACGTGGGGTGCAATTGTTCTTTCTGCAGTTATTCTTTTTGCAACCTCTTGCTGTCACAAGGCAATTTATGACTTGTTTTGCAGGAAACTGGCATGCCAGCAAAAAAAAAACACCCACTGCAGAAAATGAATTTGCTTAATAGCTTAACCTTTAAGGTGCTTCATTTAACCACAACCACAAAAAAGGTCATAAAATTGAGCAGGATCACCTGGTGACACATTGAACAATCCACATGACCAAGGGTAGGCAACCTTGGCTCGTTTATGACTCGTGGACTTCAACTCCCAGAATTCCTGAGCCAGCATGGCTCAGCTAGGAAGCCTCTCAATTTCTCCTCAGTATGGCTGGCTCAGGAATTCTGGGAGTTGAAGTCCACGAGTCATGAAGGGGCCAAAGTTTTCCTCATGCTGGCTCAGGAATTCTGGGAGTTGAAGTCCACGAGTCATAAAAGAGCCAAGGTTGCTTACCCCTGCACATGACTATAATTCCAGGCTCAATTCCACTTGTACACTAAAAGGAAAGGCTTACCTTCCATTTTACAAATCATAAACACTCCTACACCCACCTCCCAAAGATAAAGTTATCAACTCTTCTGCTGAGAAAAACAACAAAGTATTTTAAAAACAGGAACTTGTTTTAGTCATCACTGCTTTCATTTTTAATATACCAGCTACACAATTCCTACAGAAACACAAGGTTTCGTATTTCAGCCTTCAAATTCTACTGTGAGACTCTTGTAACTAAATTACTTTCATAAGAGAACTAGTATTTGACTCCTACCTTGGTGGATTGGAATCTATTAGGCGCAAACCACTAGTATTATATATTAAGTTAGTGTTTGCCGCATGGAACTTACTATTCATATCAATTCAGAAACTCCACTTAACTCAAAGGCATTTATGTTAATTCCAGATAAATATGTATAGAGTATCACCATAATTAATTTTCTACCAGCCAGCAATTAACTGATCACAAATAAAAGCTTCTCAGGGGTATCACCATTCTTCCACTGCTAAGCATATTAAAAGAAACATGATTAAACTGGTATGTGTGCCCTAACATGGTATGTGTGCCTCTAACAGAATCACAATATATAAAAAAAATACAGCAAAAAATGTAATTTTACCAACTGTTGCAAAACTCTTTTTTTCCTTAAAGGTTAAGGAAGTGTAGATAAAACTTACCCCCAATTTTATCCCCCCCAAACAAACTTCACAAGGGAAGTTGGGCGAGGGCAGCTGATAAATTATGCCTGAATGCCACTGTCAAGGAAACACATGATTCCAAAGATGTTACCACACATATCTGGGACTACGTGTAGGGTAGAGTTTTCACCTTTAAGACTTTAAGATTCATGGAGTATAACTCCCAGAATTCCCCAATCAGTAATTCTGGGAATGGCTGGCTTGGGAATTCTGGGAGTTGAAGTCCACATGTCTTAAAGCTGCCAAGATTGGACATCCCTGGTGTAGGATCTGCCTACCTCTTACCGTAAGAGGATACTCGGCCACCCCTAAAAGAGAACAGCAGGGATGGAAAATGACCTTCTCTGGGAGGCCCTCTATTGCAACAGCTTCCCCCACCCACCCAGATCAGATGTGATTCCATCCTTGGGGGCATTTCATCCAGTGGCCAAGGCTGTCCACTTTAGCAAGACATTCAGATCTGCCCGAATGGCACACCAGAATTCATAAACAGCCCAATTAACAGGTTTTACTGGTTTCTACTGGTTGATTTTCTATTTTAAAGTTGTCTTAACAGAGAACTATTATTAGGTTATTAGGTTATAACCTATTAGTAGGTTATTAGGTTGTCTTAACGGAGATCTATTATTCAGTCCATGCATAAAATAAACGGCTAACACAAGGGGTCTTCAAACTTGGCCCTTTTAGGACTTGTGGACTTCAACTCCCAGAATTCCTCAGCCAGGCACGCTGGCTGGGGAATTCTGAGAGTTGAAGTCCACAAGTCCTAAGGCCAAGTTTGAAGATCCCTGGGCTAACACAATGAGGCTTCCCCGGACAAAAAGAAGTGTTTGAGCAACAAGTCCCATCATCCCTGGTAAGGCCACACTTGGAATACTGCATCCAGTGTTGGTCACCACGATGTAAAAAAGATGTTGAGACTCTAGAAAGAGTACAGAAAAGAGCAACAAAGATGATCAGGGGACTGGAGGCTAAAGCATATAAGGAACGGTTGCTGGAATTGGGTATGTCTAGTTTAATGAAGAGAAGGACGAGGGGGGACATGATAGCAGTCTTCCAATATCTCAGGGGCTGCCCCAAAGAAGAGGGAGTCAAGCTGTTCTCCAAAGCGCCTGAAGGCAGGACAAGAAACAGTGGATGGAAACTGATCAAGGAGAGAAGCAACCTAGAACTAAGGAGAAACTTCCTGACAGTTAGAACAATTAACCAGTGGAACAACCTGCCTCCAGAAGCAGTGAATGCTCCAACCCTGGAAGTTTTTAGGAAGAAACTGGACAGCCATTTGTCTGAAATGGTATAGGGTTTCCTGCCTGAGCAGGGGGTTGGACTAGATGACCTCCAAGGTCCCTTCCAACTACTACTACTACTACTACTACTACTACTACTTCTTCTTCTTCTTCTTCTTCTTCTTCTTCTTCTTCTTCTTCTTCTTCTTCTTGATGTCGTCGTCATCATCATCATCATCATCATCATCATCATCATCATCATTATTATTATTATTATTATTATTATTATTATCTCCAGCCTGACTGGGAAGCAGAAGCGAAACTAAGCAGCTCTGATCCGACTTCCAACCGGCTGCAACTGGAAGGACAAACCCCCGGAGGCCCTTTAAGTTTCCCAAGCCTGGCTCACCCATGCCGTGCCAGATCACCAGCGGCACCGGACCCGCAGCGCTCCCGGAGCTCAGCCGGTCAAGTCCGCCCAGCAGCAGCAGCAGCCCCGCAAACAGCAGCCATCCGCCCGGCGCCATCCTCGAGAGATCACGTGACTTTCCCCCCGGGCTCGGGCGTCACGTGACAGCACAGGGCCTCGCCCTTGGGCGGGGGCGAGAGGCGTGAGGGAGCTCAGCGCCTCGCTTTCCCCCGAGGAACTCTGGGAGTTGTAGTTTTGAGGTCTTGCCTTGGAAAAGTTCGGCTTTTTTCATCCATTTCAGAATCCATTGCACCCGTTTCATTTCTATGAAGGGATGCGGTTCTTACGGCGGTTCGGCAGTGTCTGCCGATGAGGGCAGCTGCATTCATATGTCCTAAAACGTGATTTAACAAGGATTAAACGAAGCCAGGATGATTGCTTTCACTGAGTGTGCTGTCCCGACATATATTATGATGTAGCACAGTATATGAGCTCAGGAAATGAGTGGGGTAGAGCAGGGGTCTCCAACCTTGGCCACTTTAAGACTTGTGGACTTCAACTCCCAGAATTCCTCAGCCAGCTTTGCTGGCTGAGGAATTCTGGGAGTTGAAGTCCACAAGTCTTAAAGTGGCCAAGGTTGGGGACCTCTGGGGTAGAGCTTAAGTTTAAAGGAGATGCGATCCAATTCTGTTGGAGTCATTGTTGAGATGGGAGGCCATACAAATTGGAGGGATGGGTGGATAGATGGATCTCTACTTCTCTGTTTTAGTCTAGAAATAAAAGAATCAGAAGTATTCTATTGGAATGTTCCAGTGGAAGCGTTCGAGGAAATTTATTCTCAACCTTGGAAGAACAGAATTGCAGCTTTTTATGTTAATTGTGCTTGCATTTATATAGATGTGCACTTGGATCCCTGCCCTGAATGGAGAGTGGCTTTTTGCACACGTTTCATACTAAATTGGGCTACCAGATCTCAGCTACAAAAATGTAGGCCGTGAAATGGCATGCAATATATATTTATGGATATAGTGAATATACTGACTAACAAAAATGTAGATCATGAAATGGCATGCAATATATATTTATGGATATAGTGAATATACAGACTATTGCAATATATATCTATTTTTAAGACCGCTCTTTGCTGCTCTCTAGTGGTCATCTGAGATCTTGCAGTCAGGATCCGTTGTTTCTCGACCTCAGCCGCTTTAATTGTGTGGATTTCAACTCCCAGAATTCCCAGCATGCCTTGGCTGGGGAACGCTGGGAGTTGAAATCCACATATCTTAAAGTGGCTGAAGTTAGAAAGTGCTGTTAATTTAATCCCTAGTAAACTTTCCTTCCGTTTGTTGATACAGATCCAGCTCTGGATTCCAGATTCCTCCAAATTGTTGAGGGTAATGCAATAAACTGGAATCTAGCCTGTGCACCTTTGTTCCAGGACATAATCCCTCCACTAAAGCAGCATAATTCTTGTCCAACATGTTATTAGTACACGCGTTGGCTTACGACCATTCGTTTAGCAACCATTCAAAGTTACTGAAATTAGTGAATTATGACCAGTCTTTTTATTCACAACTGTCACAGTGTCCCCGCGGTCACGTGATCGCAACGTGGCAACCAGCATGTATTTAGGATGACTGTAGTATCCCCAGAGTCACGTGATCTCCATTTGTGACCTTCCTGGCTGGCTTCCCACAAACAAAGTCAATGTGCAAAGCTGGATTTGCTTAACAACTGCAGCAAAAAAAAAAAGCTGTAAAACCAGACATGGTCATGTGATGACTCATTTAGCGATGGAAGTTCTGGTCCCAGTCGTTGCCATAAATCAAGGACTATTTGCATGCATTGAATAACAGCATTGGGCAAATAAAGCCATTTAGAAACCTCTGTTGTTTTCCATTTTCCATTCTTGCTTAGCCTAAGAGACAACACACTTTCCTTCTTCCTAGCTGCGTACAGACCCCCAATCTTATAAACATCCTGCAGAGGCAGATGGAGGGTCTTGCTAACAGGGTGGGAAGGAGGGATGATAGAATCCAGAGCTTCCAACAAGGTGGTCCCAGAAGCAGTGCCCTCTTTCCTAGTGATGCTTCAGCCCTTGGACCCCGAGGCATCTGCAAAAGAAACAGAAAACTGGCTGCAGAGATGTGAATACCTACACAATACCTTGGAGAAATCTGACACCACACTCTTACGCAATTTTGCTGCCAAATGTAAACCAGACACTTCCAAGATTTCAGGGGGTGAGCTAAGTACAGTACCTTGCTTGCTCTTACAATACATTAGTTAACAGCTGATTTGGTTACAGATGTTACTAGAATATACTGTTTTTCAAACTTGTCAACATTGAGATGGGTGGGCTTCAACTCCCAGAATTCCCCAGCCAGCCACGCTGGCTAGGGAATTCTGGGAATTGAAGTCCACCCATCTTAAAATTGACAAGTTTGAAAAACACTGCTTTAAACACAGGAAACTCACATCTTAAAGTTGACACACGTGTGTGTGCAAAGTCCACACATCTTAAAAGATTACAAGTTTGAAAAACACTCCTATAACACAAGGAAACAATATTTTAAACACAAGAAACACTACTTAAAGCCAGGGAGTGAGAGGAACAAGGAGTCCGTAAACTACTCACATTGCTGTTGGGCCCCAACAGGTTGTCCCCATGCCTGCCAGAGATGGGCACCAAGGCAATCCGTAGCCAGATTGTAGCCAATCTTCTTAATGTTGGCGCTCACTTCCTTGATGATTTCCTGATAGCAGGTATTACTGTAAAGAGGCTTGTGGAATCCACTTTACAATGCCTTGGTAAGGCTACACTTAGAATACTGCATCCAGTTTTGGTCACCACGATGTAAAAAAGATGTTGAGATTCTAGAAAGAGTACAGAGAAGAGCAACAAAGATGATTAGGGGACTGGAGGCTAAAACATATAAGGAAAGGCTGCTGGAATTGGGTATGTCTAGTTTAATGAAAAGAAGGACGAGGGGGGACAGGATAGCAGCCTTCCAGTATCTCAAGGGCTGCCCCAAAGAAGAGGGAGTCAAGCTATTCTCCAAAGCACCTGAAGGCAGGACAAGAAGCAATGGATGGAAACTAATCAAGGAGAGAAGCAACCTAGAACTAAGGAGAAACTTCCTGACAGTGAGAACAATGAACCAGTGGAACAACCTGCCTCCAAAAGCGGTGAATGCTCCAACCCTGGAAGTTTTTAAGAAGAGACTGGACAGCCATTTGTCTGAAATGGGATAAGGTTTCCTGGCTGAGCAGGGGGTTGGACTAGATGACCTCCAAGGTCCCTTCCAACTTTTATTATTATTATTATTATTATTATTATTATTATTATTATTATTATTATTATTATTATTATTTTATCTTGTTTACTCCAATGATTAATTGCTTCGCCCCTAGAGAGTAGGCTAAGAGGGCGTGTTCTCATGTTTGCCCATTGTTGGAGATGCCCGCTTCAAATTCACCCAGACCTGCAGCCACAATCAGAACAGCACAGTCAGCCTAGAAGAGAAATACCAAAATCAGATGATTTGCATTGGCTGCATTGGCAAAAGGAAAGAAATGGTTTACATTGTCTTTTTTATGTTCTTGGCTGACAGTCCTGCTGTTGCCTGTGGTCTCATATCCAAATATTACCCAGATCCAATCTTGTTTAGTTTCCAAGACCAGCTAAAGTCTGCTACCTCCTCAGGCAATGTAAACTTAATTAAGTTTATTTCATTTCCATGTATGCAATTCAGTTTTCCTCCCAGTCCATTTGGTGGTCCTAACCACCTTGTCTGAATTTGATTTCAATCCTTATGTTTTCTCCTGGCTTCTCACCAAAGTTCAGGCTTCGGATCAGCCCTTCAAGACAGACCAAACAAGAGGAAGAATCTTCTATTCACAAAGGTGGAGAGACACACTAATTCTTGCAATGGAAGAATGGATGATAAAGGTGATGGAGTTGGTGGAGATGACAAAACTGACTGTTTTAATTAAAGAAAAGAGTTTATCTAGTTTTTGTCTCTACTTACAAGGCCCTTCTGGATTTTTTTTTTTACTCAAAATTGGAAAAGAAAACCCTGAAACTTTAGATTTTGATTCTTAGAATGATTTTGTAATTTTAGAAAGGGCTCAAAATGTTGTAAAATATAAAGCAAAAGATTGATGTTGTATTTATTTTGTAATTTAGTGCACCGAAGAAGTCATTACTTTTTCCTCTCTTTGCATTTTTTTCTTCTTTCTCTTTAATTTCTTCTATATTGTATCATATAATGAAAGTTAATAAAAAAAATAAAATGCAAGCAGTCCTTGACTTACAACCATTCGTTTAGTGACTGTTCAAAGTTTACAATGGCAACTGAAAAAAGTGGTTTTTAATCATTTTTAACCATTTTTAACCCAGTCTCACACAAAGATAGCCTGCTCTCCTCCTTACCTTTCTCCATACACCAATCTTGGTGATCCAATATTGAAGCCTACCTTCACACTGTGGTTTTAAAGACCGTGTTTTTAAGGGTGAGTCGAAACCCAAAACTTTTCCGATCATCTAAAATAATCTTGTAGCTGCTCAGGGTAAGAATGAGATTCTAGAGAAGGAATTGAGAGAAGAATGTTAATGCAATAGAAGCCCAGAAAATTCTGGATTCCTCTAGGATATTCTGTCCCCTGAAACCATAAAAACGAAAACCATCAATATCTGGGTTCCCCCTGTCACATAGAGTTGAAGTGGACTTGTAAACCATGGTTCATGGTCTTTGGGGGGGCAGAATTAATTAACTGCTTCTTCCTTCAGGAAAGGCTGCTTGATCCCAGAACAGCACAATGTAATGTAGGGGTCTCATCAAAGACACAGTTTACTCCACATGCTAAAGTAAGCCAAACTTGAAGGAGTGCAGGATGGCGTAATAGTGCAATACGTGAAATCAGTCCCTTGGTCAAAATGGAGGCAACCTTGCCCATTTCCTGATGGTTGAAGTGGAATGTTTGCTGCCTAAAATTCTCAGGGGTTGGAGCATGTCTGTTGAAAATAGGCAGTTGGTGAGGCAGTTGGTGTAGGAGGGGTCCTGT